CCTAAATATATTGCACCACCCTAATGTGCTGTGGGAAAGCTCGGCCAAACACTAACAAATGTGTAAGCGCACCCTCCAGTACTACTGGAGTCAATCGCTACTTTTGAACCGCTACTGCACCGAGTCCTAGGTAAGTAGCTACTCTATTAACCCGTGGTAGTGCACATGGTAGTGCAGAGTCGAACCAGTCGGAAGCAGAATAGCGAAAAATCCATAAATCACGCAAGTGACTACTTTAGTAACTCTCGGTAGTGCAGAGAGAGCCGATGGTGACTACCGCCTAGGACATTGCCTTGTAAAAGTAATCGATGAAATACACTGCAAGTAGTCGGTCGGTAATTGACGGTGTTTATCAGGTAGCTACCGATTCAGCAGTCCTGTAGTCACTCCCCCGTACTGCAGGGCAGTAACATGCACCGTATATGTACAAACATACACACACAAACTCACGCAAATGCATATGTACCCCGCTGCTTAATAACTGTGTTGAGGGGAAATACAATCTAAGTCAGTGTCCGCCAAAAAGAGAAGTCTTAAAATGAGAATGTATTAGTTATGAAATAAAAAATGAGAATGTGTTGGTGGTAATGCACGGAAATGCGTCATCAACCTGCTTCGCCTATTGTTTGCATGCAACTAAATAAAATTTGTTGCTCTGCCACTCTTTCTGTTGACGTTCGGATTGTGTACGTGTAAGAAGCCGATTGTGTACATGTGAAAGGCCGAATATAGTTCGTTTCCCAGGAAAGTGTTTGGCGGTCACTGATCTAAGTACATGGTTCGGCGGATACAACGGAGTTTGAAATTATATCTAAATTCACTTCACAACCAGTTCACACCACAACCAGTTCACCAGCTACTACGCCACACTGAAGTAAGCGCATCAAGTACGCTTTGTAACGATGTACACAATCACTTTAAATACCAAATAAAGATAAAGGACAACTCATTAATTATAATTATTAATAAATACTTTGAAACCTTGTCTTTTCTTTACATACTCTGCAGTACGGGGGAGCGACTACAGGTCTGCTGAATCGGTAGCTACCTGATAAACTCCGTCAATTACCGACCGACTTCTTGCAGTGTATCTCATCGATTACTTTTACAAGGCAATGACCTAGGCGGTAGTCACCATCTGCTCTCTCTGCACTACCGGGAGTTCCTAAAGTAGTCACTTACGTGATTTATGGGCGCCCTCTGTCGTAGTTTTTCGCTATCCTGCTTACGACTGGTTCGACTCTGCACTACCATGTGCACTACCATGGGTTAATAGAGTAGCTACTTTCCTAGGAGTCGGCGCAGTAGCGGTTCAAAAGTAGCGATTGACTCCAGCAGTGCTGGAGGGTAATAATTTACGTGCGAGCACTCCATTCCATGTGACGTGTTTACGCAGTACACAAACACCAATAATAATATCAGCCTTGAAATCCAACGGAGAATCAGATTCTGCGAAAGATTTACGGACCTTAACGCGTTGGCGATGGCAAATACCGCAGACGATTTAACGAATGAGCTGTATGAGCTTTTCAATGATATAGGCATAGTGCAGTGAATTAAAATTCAGCGGCTCCGCTAGCTTGGTCTTGTCGTTCAAATGAACAGAAACGCTCCTGGTCTGAAAGTATTCAACACGGGCCGCGATGCAGAGGAAGAGGGAAGGTCTCTTCTGCGTTGGAAAGACCAGGTGGAGAGGAACTTGGCTTCACTTGGCTTTTCCAGTTGGCACAGAAGAGAAATGACTGGCGTGCTGTTTTGGACTCGGCCAAAATCGCTTAGGCGGTAACAGCACCAGTAAATAAGGAGGAGAGAATGCATATTGATTTACGGTTTACATCAGAAAATCTACAGAATTTTAAAGAAATTTGAAGTGGAGGCTGGTACAAAAAAATTATGGGGCTTTACGCTTCCCACCTTTCTAACTTGAGAGAGCAAAGACCAAAGAATTCAATGACCCGAACTTTTTTCTCCTCCTAACAAGAGCTTCTTAGGGAAGCTTCTTGAAAAAACTCTATATAAAATTATGGAAATAGAAAATTTTCACTCCTTAATTACTCTTTTTAGAAAAAAATATTATTACGTATGCCTGTTCAGGGTGCTGTTGAAATGGTCTTGGATTTTCAGTTGGAATTGCATTTGCAAACTTTATGCTTGCTGCTATGGCAACCGTTTGCATTTTAATATGGTTAATTTACAAATGCAACGAAAATGCAAATGCAAGAGCATTTACACAAGATCCTGAACAGCCTTATAGAGTTAGCGAAAAAAAAACTAAACAGTGTCCATATAGCAAAAAAATCTACATATTCGTAAACTCCATTGTATTATGCAGTTTTTAAAATAGTGGTTAATTTTGAAGTAAAATATAAAATTTTTTCTCATTTGTGATCATAAAAAAAACAACCAGAGTTAATGAGAAATTTCCACTAGGCATTGAATGGCAATTTTTGGCATTATGGTCTTAAAAATAGTCATTAGTGCGATTCATAAAACATCTAAAAGTGGCATTTTTGGTGAAATGGCAACTTTGCGAACAAAATTGTATGAACGAACTGTCGCAACTCCGTATAGCAAATGTATTTTTTTTTTTCAAAATGCTGTACATAAGTGAAAAAGAAACGTTTTTACTATTACATAAATTATTATTAGTCACGGATTGTTAGCTACTTGATAGCTTTTGAATACATCTTGATATTGAAACCGTTATGATAAATGTATGTATATATACTTTAAAAATTATAATAGTTTGGTCAGATCGACGTGTTTTATTTTTTTTTTTAATTAAGTAAAATACGTCATTTGACAAAATATATGAATCGATCTTGGGAGATCAATTTATTTTTTGCCGATTTCTTACAGCTTCGATTTTTTTATTTCGATTCGAGTCGACTCAAAAATCGATATTTTTTTATTTCGATCTGGCATCTCGAATAGGCCAGTGATAATTTCCCCTCAAAATTAATTGGATGCCATACCATTGATGATTTTAAAGAACCAGTGAGCTTATATGTTTATGGTTTTATACTCTATTTGTAATGCTGACTACAAACGGGGCGACATGTTGAGCATACGGGAGACATTTTTGTATTCTAACAGAATTTTCTTGTTTAACTAGCTGCTTTTACATAAATAAGTAGCCATAAATATGTAAATACAAACCACCATTTGAAGTGCATGCACTTTTATGTATACTTGCATACATTCCCTGCAGGGAAATCAATAACTAGTGAAAAAAAATCAGGTCCGCCACTAGTACTATAGCGCAAAAACGGAACTAGTTCGGTAGTAACTACTATACACAGCATTTTTTCTTTTTTTCATAAAATTTCCAACTGATCCTTTTTCTGTTCACCTTTCGCGAACAGGCTTTATTCTTATAGAAAGTCACAAGGCAATTTTTAATTTTTGGTGTCTGCACGACCAAGCTTTTCAGAATTTATCACAAAAATCACAAGCACTAAAATGTTGCTTACCATTTTCTAGAAAGATTTTAAATTGAACGGTATTTGTTAATCTTTTCTTGGAGGAAAAAGGTAATACATTCCCATTTCCCACTGGAAATTTCTTTGAAATACAAACATTAATTTGTTTTTATGTAAAAATAAATCTGAAAGGATTAAGCGGTATTATTTACATTTTTTTTATTAAGAATCAGTTTTCTAGGAAAATAATACTTAATGTTAAGGGAACAGACCTTGACTTTCTAATCATACAGCTAGTTACTTTGACAGCGTTCCAAGGCGCCATTTAGCCAACCAAGTTTTCAAAATAAATTAAAACAAATTAAAGTAAGCAAGGCGTGAAAAGCAAGTCTGCATTGGGCCAGCGCCTTAATACTCCATAGGTGGTACTACCTGTTCCTGCCTGCTTCTATGCCTTGCGCCATACTTATATCCAGATTTGGGGTGTGAGCATTGGTATTACCACACATAGCGGAGGTATCTATGGTTTCATACAGACTCCTAATGGAAAATTATTTTCCTACGGCTGGTAATGCGCCCCTCGACCATTGCAGATCATGAAGCTGCAACTACTTTCCAATATTCTCCAGTAAATTTTAAATGTATCTCTTTTACTTACCTTTTTTCGGCTAAACACCCATATGTATCTACATATATACAAATTGAGTGAACAACAATTTTTCGAAACAATAATAAAGTAAATGTAAACAAACCAAACTAGTGAAGAGATGAAATCGATCAAATCGAAGAGAATGCAAATACAGGGTTGCTTTTTCGCTTTAAAATGTGTTCACATGAGGCGATTTTACAGGAAACTTTAGAGCCGATTAGTTGAACCAAAAGTTGGCAGCCACCCAACTTCATTGGAGGCGATTATTTAAAAGACCGTTTACACCAGGCATAGGTATTTATAAGCTGTATTTTTTACAAATACAGCGCAATACATTGATTAATTTTTCTATGCTAATATTTTTGCCCTTTTATAATAAGGAATTTGTGATGTATGACTAAAACAAACTTTTTCGGTGGTCATATCATTTCGTTTTTATAATAAAGCAGTGTTGTTTTCACCGTCGATTTAACAGTGAGTTAGGTACTTACACATTATTTTTATTTGCAAATAGCTTACGTATGAACGTACTATATCTTTATAGTATAGATGGTGCTATATAGATCTTTGGTTGATTTATATCGATACATTTATTTCTTGTATGTATCTATCATAGTGTTGTAAATCACAATTACACTATTGATGTTTGAAGAATCGATGTAGTTTCACTTGAACTATTTTTTACTTAAATAGGTACATTTATTAATTTACGAATTTATTAAAGGACCTTGTGCATAATTCCATGAAATTAGTTATTTATCAAACCCTCGTTCCACATTTTAAAGCATACTCAAAATGAAATGGTGAAAAATTAGTAAAAAAAAATTGTCGATGTTTGAAGCCACGACGATCGATGCTGCTCGATACATTGATGGTTTTTTATATCCCTAATCTATTATGGTAAATTCTCCGACATTTTGCTGGCCTCTGTTTGGTGTTAAAGTGCGTTTTGTTTTTGTGAGCAATTGTGAGTTACAAATATAAGGTCAATATTAATAAAATTTTGAAACGAATAGTAAACGTCACATGAAGAGACTCATTAAAAAAGGGCAGGACAATCTTTTAAAAAAAATGTATGAGTTGAACGATGGTCTGATAGGTGAAACTGTTGAACAGCCATGCTTTTCCAGATGAAAGTGGCTTACTTGACGAGCCTTCATGCTCAAATGTGACGCAAGTCTCAGGAGAACATATTGGAAGTACCCCAAATGAATACTTTTTCCCAAGTGAAAGTGAAGTTTCATTCAGAGATAAATTGTTAAGTTGGTACTTGGAATATAAGCCCCCACCAGTGTTGCCGCCGCTCAAAGAACTTTCTAACCAAGATTTGACGAAAAAGTTACGAAATGTAAGGAAAAATAACCAATTTTTTTATTAGATTAATAACTCAGGTCATCACAAATTCTTTTATATAGTACGTATATACAAATTTTACAAACTAAAGAAAATCAGTTTTTATTTGCATTTTTGAAAAGTAAATCCTTTTAAGGCTGAAAATAAGTGAGATACATTCATATATAAGTATATATATAAATACATATTTTAGAAAATCAGGCTTCCCGTATTAGGTGCATATGTATGTTAATATCTTTAACATTACCAGACTCTAAATGACGTTTTTAAATAAGTACATAGGTACACAGTTTCCAACTTCTTTGTAAGAATCAATGAAATACCTAATCAGCGTGAACAACCACATTGTAAATATTTTATAATTAAGATTAAACAATTAAAAGTTGGACTGTATTGAGCTATATCGTCGCTCAGCGCGAAGTACCTCGTATACGCCAAACGCAGTACCGCGTATACGAAAGTAAATAAATTTTACAAAAGCGCGAGAAACCGATTTTTTCAAAACTGTGGAATGGTATTTCCCTTGAACCTACTTGCTATAAGATTATTATTATTAATCTTAACTTAAATTAATAAAGTAAGCAGTAATGGAAAAATAATTACCAAATCCCTCTTTTATTGTACATACATGGCGTGGTATTGGATTCCGCATATACGAGGTATTTATATTTGTGCTATCTGAGTATGTATTCATTTGAAGTAGTCTTTAGCCGACCATGTATATTATGTATTCTGTATATTATAAAACAAATACATACATATGTAAGTAATATTAACACAATGATTCCAAATATTCTCACTTGGTTTCACTGCTGGGGCTGCCACTGCTGCTGCTACTCTCCTCAACCTCGACAGGTGAAGCTGGCCTATGTCTTATAACGAACCTAATTTAAAAGTTTTTTGGAAATACATATGCAAAATAAAACCAAAATTGTGTATTTTTTTCTCACTTATCCATAGAATTGAGCCCGTATAAATTAACTTGAAACACCAATTTTGCGCGGAATTCTAATAATTTTTCGCGGCTTCTTAATAACTCTCGTATTATTCAAATGTCATTTCAGGCACATACTATGTAGGTGTGTGCAAAAAACATAGAAATTGTGTAACTGCGGGGCCGTTTCAAAAACTTGGCGATTAATTCACCGCTATTTATTAAAGACACGAACCGATAATAGTTGCACCCTCGAACTTTTACTGTTCTTTTGCATATGTAAACACATGATTGTTATCGGAATAAGTCGAATCTTGAGTTGCCATTTTAGAGTAATAACTTTAGTTAAATAACCATATTGAGCAGAATAAATGTATTTGTTTATACTATTTTTCAAAGATTTAATTATTGTATGTATACAAAAGTTAGAAACTACAGCAAATTTTAAAAATAACCAAAATGGGAAATATCTTACCAACTTCACAGGCAAGAAAAAAATAACCAAAATTGGTTAAAAGTAACCAAAACGGCAACACTGGCCCCCACGCTAGTTTTTCGAGGGCCTTTTAGCTATTTTGCGCGACGTGAACTTGGATGTTCCACTATCTGTGGAAACTCTTTTTGGTAAAAGCAGGGAAAAGCCTATAATTAGGCCTGTTGAACCTGGTCTCTATTCTCATATAGGGCTTCAAAACCAGTTGCAGTAAATATCAAACATATTGAAAGAACTTGACGATATTACAATTGATATGAATATCGACGGTTTACCTTTATTTAAGTCTTCTCCTTATCAACTATGGCCAATTTTAGTAAGATAGTTAATGTTGAAAACGTGTCTGTCTTGCCGGTGGTACTTACTTACTTACTTACTTTGTGAAAAGAAAAGAAAAGGAAAAAAGCAAAAAATATCACAAAACCTTGAATCCGTAAGAGATTGCATACCCAGAGAATTCGTCAGGAAAACCAGATCACTAAATGAAGTAGTTTACTGGAAAGCTACAGAGTTCCGACAAGTTCTTTTATGTACCGGTATTTTCGCGTTTAAGGACAATTTACATGAGGATGTGTATTATGAATTTTTGTTGTTGCACTGCGCTTGTAGAATTCTATTTTGTACAAAGAATTATTTAAGTAACTTAGACAATGCTCAAAGGATGCTAGAATTATTTGTTCAACATTTTCCCACAATCTTTGGCGAATCTAGCGTAACCTACAACATCTTTTGCATTTGGTGGATAACGTAGGAGCTATAGGATCGGTTTCTAGTTTCTCTGCCTACAGCTTTGAAAATCATTTACAAATTTTAAAATCGTATGTAAGAAACCATACCTTATTCTTCAACAGCTTTAAAAAAAAAAAAATAATGACAAAAAAGTTGTTATAGGTAGGGAATTTCCGAATATTAGAAGTTTTTAAAATGAACCACTTGACTCCTTTTCACTAGGCATTTGTGTGGTAGACAATATAATGCTCGAAGAGAAAGAATATCCCATTGAGGAAATAGACTTAAAATTAATGGGTTTTCCTAATGATGACGATTGTTTACTATTACTTCCAATTTTGCATGGTTGTTTCTAATTTAAAACAAGAAAATATCACAATTCCTCCCCGTAGATTAAATATGGCAAAAAAGAATTGAAAAAAAATTAATTCAACGAGATTGTACCAACACCAAGTAAGTAAGTTGTCTAACAACATCAAGAACTTGGTTTCAAGTTGATCACACATATTGCTTGTCAAAATTCAATTGAATTGACAGCTGTGACACAGGCCGCACGCAACGTGTTAGTAAATTTCACGGCGTTCAAGTTGTAAAACTTACTTTCAAGTTCTTGATAGGTGTAACCTCCAAGTAAGATATGTTTAAGTAGGTAGACATCCTCGTGTAGTATTCTTAATTGTTTGCACATATCGATATTTCAAACTACCAATCCGACATGCACAAAGTGTGGTGGCATCGTTGTTGCCACTAAATTCAAAAGAAGAGTTAAAAAAACTTAACGCCAAAATTACTTGAGGGAATCGAGATTTATTTCTAAGTAGTGAATACAGTTTCTTTTTGAGCATTTCAAGTAAACTATCTTGTTTTTTTTTTTTTTAATCTTTAGTTAACAACCATGAGCAGACTGCTGCATCATTCTGTAAAAAAAAATATTTAAAAATTATTCTAAGGAACGAGTTCGTCCTTGCATCAATATTCTCGGAACGCGTGGCAAACAACGGATCAAATATTACGCCAATTTTTATGCTGTGTTACTAGGCAAATTACATCATATGATTACTTGAAAAGCATATAAAAAACAAGTAAGAAAGTCTAAGTTCGGGCGGAGCCGAACATTAAATACCCGGCGCAAGTATTAAATATATGTTTTTTCACCTTTCCGAAACCTTCCGCTAGATGGTAAGCCGGGGTGTATCAATTTTGAGTAAATTAGCGTCCTTCAATTTCGAAATATTGAAGTTTTAAGCATTTCTGAAATTTACCGTTATATAAGAAGCGGCCGTTATTTTAGTCCGATTTCAATAATTTTCAACGTTTTGCTTATATGTGGCAAGCACAATAACCACACCGAGTTTGGTACAAATTGGTAGAACGGTTACCGATATACTTATATGTGATCATAAGTGGGCGGTGCCACGCCCATTTTCCAAAATTTTACCATAAACGTATTTCTTGGTAAAGCATTAATTTTGAATAAATTAGCTTCAATATTTACTGATTTATCGAAGATTATGTATTTCTCTAAATTACCGTTATATGGGAGGTGGGCGTGGTTATTGAGCGATTTTAAAAATTTTCGGCCATTTGGAATGTTGTGCGAAGGCCAACAACTGTGCCAAGTTTGGAAGAAATTGGTGCAGCGGTTACCAAGATATACACATGTAACCATAAGTGGGTGTGGCTACGCCCATTTTCCAAAAATTTATAATATTCTTATTTTTCGTCTAAAAATTATTGTAAATGTCAATTTTGAGTGAATTATCTTCAGTAGTTACTAAAATATCGCAGTTTTCGTGTTTCTGAAAATTACCGTAATATAGGAAGTAGGCGTGGTTATTGAGCGATTTTAAAAATTTTCGGCCACTTATGTTGTGCGAAGGCCAACAACTGTGCCAAGTTTGGAAGAAATTGGTGCAGCGGTTACCAAGATATACACATGTAACCATAAGTGGGCGTGGCTACGCCCATTTTCCAAAAATTTATAATATTCTTATTTTTCGTCTAAAACTTATTATAAATATCAATTTTGAGTGAATATTCTCCAGTAGTTACTAAAATATCGCAGTTTTCGTGTTTCTGAAAATTACCGTTATATAGGAAGTAGGCGTGGTTATTGAGCGATTTTAAAAATTTTCGGCCATTTGGTATGTTGTGCGAAGGCCAACAACTGTGCCAAGTTTGGAAGAAATTGGTGCAGCGGTTACCAAGATATACACATGTAACCATAAGTGGGTGTGGCTACGCCCATTTTCCAAAAATTTATAATATTCTTATTTTTCGTCTAAAAATTATCGTAAATGTCAATTTTGAGTGAATTATCTTCAGTAGTTACTAAAATATCGCAGTTTTCGTATTTCTGGAAATTACCGTTATATGGGAAGTGGGCGTGGTTATTGTCCGATTTCGCCCATTTTCAATACCAACCTACCTTGGATTAACAGAAACCTACATACCAAATCTCGTTGAGATATCTCAATTTTTGCTCGAGTTATCGTGTACACGGACTGACGGACGGACGGACAGACAGACATGGCTTAATCGATTTCTTTTTTCATTCTGATCATTTATGTATACATTTGTCTATATCTATCTCGATTCGTTTTGGCTGTTACAAACAACCGTTATGTGAACAAAATTAATATACCCTTGTGCACAAGTGCGCTCGGGTATAAAAATCTTTGTAGAATCCATAAAAAGGCACGAACCCCAAATAGAGTTAAGAAGATCAATACAGCTGCAGAAAAAAGGCCTTTTTAATTGAAGGCCGCCAAGTAATGTAAAAGATTGAATGTTGCCATAGAATACGAGTTTTTACATGCTATACAACTAAAGTAAGGTACCTGAAAACAAGTTTATTTTTTAGTTTGGAGAAAAAACGTGTTTTTTTTTAATGTACTAAAAAGCACGAGATGCTAGGAAAAGGATCTAATTCTTTTGCATTCAACGTTGCTGTAGAATATAAGCTTTTACAACAAGCTAGGAACCTGAAAACAATATTTTTCTTATTGAGAGAAACTTGGTCTTTTCTTTGTGCACACATATATGACCCATTCATTTTTAAGTCGGACGGATTTCGTAAAAAAAAATTATGTCATGTCTCCGATTCGCTTCAAATATTTTTTTTGGGTTGTGTACCTGAAATAAGCTAACAAGTGTTCGAGGAATTTTCTTCTTCTCTTTTGTCTTCGGAGATATGATCAGTCAAAGTTTGCATTTTTTCGTGATTTTGACTAATCATGTAGTTCTTCAGATCGTTAAATCTCAAGCTCTGCTGAACGTAGAGACTTCATCTTAACGTCATTTTAAAGCTAAGAAACGGGCTTAGCATTTCTAGTTATAAGGTGGCCAAGATCGTCCTAGAGCTAACTTAGCTATTAACAGTTGAAGATTTGAAGTTGATTTGCATAGTGAAGACCAGTAAATTATAATTATCTATAAAAAACGTGGTTAAAAAATGGGGTAGTTTTCAAGAACTATTTTTAAAATATTTTTCTTTATGACGAGATGGTCTATTTTGTGAGAATCAACAATTATTTGTAATTTTTTTTTCGAAAATTTATGTTAAGATATATTTGGCAAGGTGCTAAACATTGAGTTTTTGCAAAAATTAAAGTTTTATTGTGGATTCCGATATAATACCTATCCAGATATAATATTTGTATGGCAGAATTTTTCTTTAAGGCAACAAACCCCTTAAAATGGGCATGGCAATTGCAGGACTAAAATTAGCAAAACGCAGATTTTATTGCGGATTTCTGCAGAATATCGCTTCGTTAACATTATTTGTTCCACAACTGGGTAGGTGTCCTATCGGAATCTGCAATAAAATTTTACTTTTTGCTAAAACCCGCTGTTTAACACCTTGCCAAATATATCTTAACATAAATTTTCGAAAAAAATTACAAATAATTGTTGATTCTCACAAAATAGACCATCTCGTCATAAAGAAAAATATTTAAAAATAGTTCTTGAAAACCTCCTATTTTTATAACCAAGTTTGTTTTATAGAGAATTAAATAAAGATTACGATGGTATAAATATAAATCCCTAATTTACTGGTCTGAACTATGCAAATCAACTTCAAAAAGTTCAACTGTTAATAGCTACGGTAGCCTTAGGACATTCTTGACCATCTTATATACAGAAATATCAAGCCCGTTTCCTTAGCTTTAAAACGACGTTAAGATGAAGTGGTTGGCAGAACTAGCGATATAACGATTTGAAGGAGTACATGATTAGTCAGAATCACGAAAAAATTTAAACTTTGACAGATCATCTCCAAAGAAAAAAGCGAAAAAATTGCTCGAACACGTGTTAGTTTATTTCATGTATAGAACCCATAAAAAAAATTTAAACCAATCGAAAGTGTGACACCAAATTTGGTATCCGATATGAAAAAGAATGTCTCATATACACCTTTATTAGAAAAAACTAAACATTTTTTATTTAATATTTAAATTGAGGGAAACTTCCTTTTTATTTTGCGCGAAGAAATGTTGAAGGAAATGGAATTGAAAAAGGTGTATAAGAATTTACTTATTTTAATAAAAAACTGATATAAAAAAACCGTCGTTTATGTTTTTCTATAGTAACATGTGTTATACATACGTATATTAAACTAATATTTTGAAACACCCAACGCTTTTGTAATTTGTAGACGGAAGTATTTTTTTTTATTACATAAGAAATATTTGCTTTACGTTCGAGAACACGTTGCCTTAAATGTAATACAATTTAACAAAATTTACAAACACACATATATACATATGTGTTAACAAAAAAAAAAACATACGTAGATGCAAAATAATGCAATTATTTAAGTTTGGTATTTTAATAAATCAAATAAAAAGTAATATTTTGTATTCTCCCGACGAATTTCGTTATTAGTCTCAATTAAATCTAGTGTGCCGAATTTAGAACTGGTTCCTAACTACTGAAAATGGATTGCGATTATATTAGTAGAATTTTGGCTGGTTCCGAACTATAGAAAACGGGGTGCAAAGCGAACTAGATCCCGTCTGTCGAATTTAGGATTGGTTCTGAACTATAGAAAAGGTAATGCAGCGGGGGACAATTTCGATTTCCTATGACATCGCCGTGCTAAATTCACCAGTTGTTTGCGTGCAAAAGAGATTTATCGCGAACTAGTAGTGGTTCTAAATGAACTAGAAGCAAACCAATTCGGAGCTAGAGAATTTCCCTACAGGGTATGTATGAACATACACATACCTATTTGCATATGCTTGAAGAATACATCCACGCTCAAAAAGCGGCATAAATGCCAAAAATCAATCAAAATCTCATATTAACAAGGGTAAGAAAGGTAACTTCCTATGCATAACGCCAATTTTAACAAATTGCTGAACTGTTGCGCGCTTCAAAAACCTACATTCATACATAGTTTGCCAACAGAAGCTTGTGAAAAGAGTTTCACCAACTACTTAAGAACTGGC